CAAGAGCCATGGATTCCAACATTCGACATCGTGTCTCTGAAGCAATGCACTTATCCACTAGGCCATCGGCGGCTTGCTTGCAGTTATCCTTCTCAACTTGTGCAGACGGAGCGAAGATTAAATGGTCCGTAACTCCCTTTGGAGAATCGTTCCGCAAAATAGAAGGTCCCATATTTATACATCTCACTGCAAATGGCCGGATCGATCTGTTGGGGTTCCCTTGTGAGATTCGGTAGGCGGGGCTGCATTCTTCAATTTAACCTGACGTGGTCTGTGCTTCTGGTAGAATATTTCCATCAACACATCGTGTCTCTGTCCAACAGAACAAGACGACAGTTGTCCGGATTGGAATGTCCCACGGGTAACCCGTTCCGTGTCATGTTCATATTCCACACCTACTCTGGCTCATGGATAAGGAGTTTAACAGTACTCATTCGGGAACTCCGATATGCTTTTGAAGCAAGTTCCGAAAATCCCGTTGAACTGTGTAAAAGCATACTATGGTTACCATTGATCAATATGTCTGGCTTCCGCCGTGCACTACGCCCCACGCAGAGATGGTGGAAAGGTGTGATTTCTGATGGTGAGTGATTTTTGTCCATGCAAGCTAATATTTGCTTGGGCTTCGGAAAGGTTTCTACTCATGAACCTGTTTGAGATGCATCATTCAGTCATCTGGGTATACAGCGCTAGTTCCGTTCCAAAAAACAGCAGTGATACTTTTGCAGCGTTCGCTGCACACCGACCTGGCGTTTACGCCCCCCCCCCTCCTTGGCGACCAGGTCCGACCCCCTGAATGAGTTTTGCACACGGTGCTGTACCCAAAAGTTCCGGAGCTTTGGCTTCTTTTAAAAAGTTACCGAAATAGCTCGCTTCATTGCCACGGCAGGAAGCGTGGTTTAGCGTGAACCTCGGAATGTGATCGGGACTCTGAAAATTCAAGTATTCGACTCGATATCATTTCTTTTTCCCTCTTTTTGTATTTCCTAGCCTTTTTGGGAGACGTTCGTACCAAGGCCCACCTTCGGGAGGGGGGGGGAGGTCGGGGAAGGGGTCGTACTCAGCAGATATTTTACACCACGCGATGGCTTGCCCTGTCTGTGAGTCCCTACGTGGCAATTGGGCATCACAGCGGGCTGATGCAGGTGCGTGCTATGTGTGGCTATTTAGTTATGACGTTTTCGGTTTGAGAAACACCTTTCCTGTGATTTGGTGCATGCAGTTCAGTGTTTGATTCGAAAAGTGTAATCCGACATCTAACTATTCTGGTTCACTCTATTTTTGCTCCATTTCCGTATACGGTCTCAGGGCCGCCTAGACGGCAAGCCTTCTCTGTTTCCTTTGATTTATTTACATTATTTTTCACATGACCGTTTTGATTTAGTGCTTCTGTTGGATGTACCTTGAGCATATGGAACAATTACCTGACGGTCGTCGTTATAAGGGTATTTGTCTTTGCTTCCACGGTTTTCCTTTAGAGTCATAGTAGGTACGTCTGCAAAAAGAAGAATACCATTGTAGAAGAATACATTTTCGTCACTAGAATATACGCAAAATGAAGCTGAAGGGTTGTAACAGCTGGATGTTCCATTTGCCTCCGCCCGCTGCTCATTACGGGTTTGAGCATTACTTCCTTCACACGGTATCGCGCACACTGTCGAATGTTTTGCCCTGACAAGAACATGAATGGTGTGTGCTGTGTTGCGACGCTTGTCTCCGTCTGTTCTAGTCGTCTGTACCTTCCTATAGACACCCTTGGCTGCAAACTAGTTCAAGCAGAAGCCAACAGCAGAAGTATAGTCTCCGTTACGGTGCTATTGAAAGTTTCTCTTGCTTGTTTTATGAGTTGCAATTCTCTTGCCTGGTATCAAGAACTACATTTTTAAACCCACATTCTGCTTTATAGAACAGCACTTTGGCTAACGCACACTGCCACGCGCATCACATGGGAACCCTATGTGGAGCTACCACGTCGTTTGCCTGCGATCCACATTTTCTCAACTACTAGTCTTCGATTTTCACCGTTTCAGGCGCACAATATATTTACGACGGATCAATCCGTCGCAAACCATCGCCTTTTCAACAACTTTCACAGCTTCCATGAGAGTTGTCTAAATGATCTGAAAGCTAGCCCAGCCGATAGCACTATGAAGCAGATAGCTTTAATCTAGCGATGCATAGATCTTCCACTTTCCATCAATTTTGGTGTCTTTTCAAGTTTTCGCTTCAAAAGTTCTGTTCTGATAGTCTGTCTTTTTTTTCTATTTTATCCGTTAACTGATTAATCACCGACCTCTTGCAGTAGTTAATATTAGCTCGGCAAAAAAAGTACAATTCCGATTTGAGATTTTTTTACAACTTGATTCTTTTAGTAACAAACAATTGATCAGCAATATAAACACCGTCATTAACGATAACACTGCTCCACTTAATAGGCAAATCACTGATCCCTTCTCCTAGAATGCTGGAGCCTGGAAATCGAAGAAGCTCTGAGCGGTCTGAACAAATGATAGTCTGACGGCGCAAGGTCTGGAGAGTAGGGTGGACGTGCAACGGGATGCCGTCCATGCCCCATCAATTGTTCACAAGTCGTGGAAGCGGCATGAGTATGAGCGTTGTCACGGAGGGACGGTAGCTCTTCTTGGGCGCTTTCTTTCACAGCATCCGCTTCTGGAGCTGGTCAGCATACACGACAGCGGTGATAGTCCTGCCCTGTGGTAGCAACTCGTGGTAAGGCATTCCTTTGGAATCCCAAACACGAGAGCATTACCTTTTTTATGGGTGGATGTCGAACTCCGGCCGCCTTGGCGGTTCTTCGGTTACGTGATATCTTGAACTTCTGTGCATGATCCTATTGCGAAACCAGAAAACGCACGCAGATAGAGGACAGCGCCTGCCAAAGCATCGAAATGTGCAAGAAATTACGGCGAGCCAAGAAACGAGCTTTTTTAAGTGGAGGGAACTCCGGTGAACACAAATTCGACGCGTGTAAAGGGATAGTTCAAGTTGTCCATAGACTGCGGTTTTCCACCGCGCGGAACCCAAACAGCACGATGGCTGTTGGCATCGTAGAAGCTCCAGCTCTCTCCAGCAATCATATCCTCAAAAAACCTCTTGCGATGCGGCTGGAAGAGAATAGATTGAACGACAGTAAGGCGGGCCATCCTCATACCTTCGGTCAACTGATGAGGTATCTGTTTCGTCATTTTCGGCCCAAGAGCTTGATGGTGATTTTCCATAGTCATATACGTGCATCCGAACCTGCTTACTAAATCACGTACGGTGGTGTTCTTCAAAGACAGCCCCCCGCGCTCGAGTAGTACATGGTCGTCCTTCCTTGTGCAAGTAGTACAGCCCCCAAGCTAGAGACTGTCCCACTCTCGCGACTCCACAGCGAGCGAGGAGCGAGCTACAGCCGCTGAAAGTTCTAGTTCTAACGCCCGCCCAGTTGGACCGCCCACTTGCTAGATGCCCTCTGACGGAGAGCCGCTCAGTTGTTCTTTGTTGGGGCGGCGGGCATTAATCGGCCAAGAGAGAGATTGGAGCTGGTCAGCATACACGACAGCGGTGATAGTCCTGCCCTGTGGTAGCAACTCGTGGTAAGGCATTCCTTTGGAATCCCAAACACGAGAGCATTACCTTTTTTATGGGTGGATGTCGAACTCCGGCCGCCTTGGCGGTTCTTCGGTTACGTGATATCTTGAACTTCTGTGCATGATCCTATTGCGAAACCAGAAAACGCACGCAAATAGAGGACAGCGACTGCCAAAGCATCGAAATGTGAAAGAAATTACGGCGAGCCAAGAAACGAGCTTTTTTAAGTGGAGGGAACTCCGGTGAACACAAATTCGACGCGTGTAAAGGGATAGTTCAAGTTGTCCATAGACTGCGGTTTTCCACCGCGCGGAACCCAAACAGCACTGTTGGCATCGTAGAAGCTCCAGCTCTCTCCAGCAATCATATCCTCAAAAAACCTCTTGCGATGCGGCTGGAAGAGAATAGATTGAACGACAGTAAGGCGGGCCATCCTCATACCTTCGGTCAACTGATGAGGTATCTGTTTCGTCATTTTCGGCCCAAGAGCTTGATGGTGATTTTCCATAGTCATATACGTGCATCCGAACCTGCTTACTAAATCACGTACGGTGGTGTTCTTCAAAGACAGCCCCCGCGCTCGAGTAGTACATGGTCGTCCTTCCTTGTGCAAGTAGTACAGCCCCAAGCTAGAGACTGTCCCACTCTCGCGACTCCACAGCGAGCGAGGAGCGAGCTACAGCCGCTGAAAGTTCTAGTTCTAACGCCCGCCCAGTTGGACCGCCACTTGCTAGATGCCCTCTGACGGAGAGCCGCTCATTGTTCTTTGTTGGGGCGGCGGGCATTAATCGGAATTGCATGCCCTTTTTGCTGACCGCGCTCGTGCCCATGAATGCTTCTGCTCTCCTTCATTACATTTTATATATTAGGTTGTTCGGAAAGGAACGCGCGTTGA